TATATATATATATATATATATCATAGGCGGTTAAAAAATTTGTGTAATGAAAAGCCATATATATATATATATATATATATATATATATAAACCTAAAAAGCTAGGCAACCTACCAAGGTTTCACCTAAGTGGATCGTTATGTCAGCCTTCCCTGACAATCCGCTGAGGTGAAACCTTGGTAGGTTTGTCTGGCTCTCTAGGTTTAACTAGTTCTGCTCTACTTACCGTATTGAGCATTTATTTAGTTGTTTTGCTTACTCGCATCGGGTTTTTTTTTCTTTGGACATTGCACTTGGATTCTAGACTATTATTTTCGGCTGACGTACATATTCTTTTGTTCTTTCTTTTTTTGTACCTTTTTTTCCCTTATTGGTTTGTTTATTTGCAAATCAGGACACCGAAGGTTTTCCGGACGAGATAATTTCTTATGTTTATTATAATATATATATATTTATTATGTTTATATATATATATATATATATATATATATATATATATATATATATATATATATATATATATATATATATGAACCGTTGCATCCATGCAAAAAAAGGTCGTGGTTATGTCCTCTTAATTTTATATGAGGCTGGATAAAAATAGTATTTTCAATTATACTTCTTGTTTTCCCATTTTTTCAAGACATTATTATTATTATTATTATTTTTTCTTTCTGGTTTTTGATTATTATTTTCTTTGATTTCCCACAGAATGGCGTTTATTTCACATTTCTTGTCCGGGTCCTGCCCAGGGACCGAAGGATAGAAATCCTGATGATGCTATTGCATGACAGAACCTTTTTGGATCCACTGACAAAAAAAAAATATATATATATATACATAGATAAATTTCTGCCCTTCGTCCTGCCCAGGGACCGAAGGATAGAAATGGGACACTTTTCACTGACTGATAAAGCTTGTCGGAACAATATTTTGTATCTCCTTGAGGCATGGACTTCAAAGAATCCCTTCAATTAGTCTACTGCAATCTTTTCCAACCAGTCTTGGGGGATTCAACTACAACAGGGATTGTTGATGTTCCCATATTCCACATTTTCAAGATTTCTATTTCAAGGTCCTTGTACTTTGACAAACTTTTGAATATCTTCAAAGATACATTGCAGTCAGCAGGAACTGCCATATCAACAAGGAGGCACCGTTTTTGTTTGTGGTCTTTAATAACAATGTTTGTGGTCTTTAATTATTATTATTATTATTATTATTATAACGAATGTGCGATTGTTTATTTTTTTAAATAATATAGCGTTCATTAATAATGAAAAAAATAAAGCATCGCCATTTTTTCTGAATATTTCAAATTGGTATAGTCAAATTAATTCAATGTCATTATATGAAATACTTTAGTGGAAATTTTGAACATTTTCAATTGTTTCAATGATACTGATTCTTGAAGAATTTCAGCTTCCAAGGAATTATAAAACTGGTTCCAATTTACCACTAAAAGAATTCCCTTAAACATGAATATAACCTAATGACCAATGTTAAAAATATCAGTTTACATTTTTTCATTTTCTGATAAAATCCTCCATTTTTCTTTTCAAAAATGCCGCATTTAGATATTTTCTCCAGTGGATTCTTTTTAATCAAAATTATTTCATCATCACTTTCATCAGTCGTAACTGTTCATCCATATCTTGTGTCCCATGGAGTCTGACTATGGATGGCTGAACCCATTTTTCGATTGACCACCATCAACTCCCCTGCTGCATATTTTTTTTTAGATATAAATTAGATTTACAATTAAGTAGAATCTGATTCTTGAGCTTTCGCGTAAAAATATCAATTATTCAGTTTGTCTGAAAATAGGATGTGGAGAAATATATTTTGTTTTATGGGGCCTGTTTTTTTTAATTTTATTCCCATGGTTTCTACAGATATTATATTGAAGTGTGTATAATATTAAAAAAAAATAAATAAATCACGTATACACATTTGATAGATTCCACTTAACGCTTACAATTGATGTCACAGTGATTTTTTTTATAGAAACAAATATTTAAGTAAATGCTCTGTTTATAATAAACGGTATTAACATTTACCGGCCTCAATGCCCGAGAAATTTTCATTGAAAATATTCATCCTCCGACAGGAATCAAACCTGTATCCTATACGGAACCGTCATATAACCTGACGTGCTATAATGTGTGACGTCATTTGTTTAAATTTGGATACGCATCGAGCAGATATGAATGTACGTGAGAAAATCATAGAAAATTGTAGTTTAACAGTAGTAAAATCGATCTTTCTAACCGAAACGCTGCTCTGTGGCGAAATCGGTAAAAGCACGTCAGGCTATATGACAGTTCCGTATAGGATACAGGTTCAAATCCTGTCGGAGGACGCATATTTTCTATGACAATTTCTCGGACATTCAGGCCGGTAAATGTCGTTAATACTGTTTATTATAAACGGAGCATTTACTTGAATATTTGTATCTATAAAAGAATGTATAAACATAAAAATGTCTTTATATATATACATGTTTCATTAAATAATATAGACAAGTGTTGTCTACTTATTTTATGTAAATTCTTTTCATAACGTCTGATCAGCTGAATAACAATATCATTAAACGAAGAGAGGAAATCACAATATTGATACATATTTTTTAATCCAATCTAAGCTTTCGGCTTACATAAGCAATTATCAAAGATGACAGTTACAGTACAATATTTTAACCAATACAAAGACAAAACAATGATGACAGTCTGTTTCTGTTTACACGGATGATTTCCAAGCAACGATAAACACGTGCATATGAGACGCTGGAAGGGAAAATCGCACCGCAGCTCATGACGTCACACACACACACACACACACGCACACACACACACACACACACACACACACACACACATATATATATATATCATGTGTACTTATCAAGAATTCATCAAGGCAAGTGAGATCCTGTGTCAGTTTTTCATAATTTTTTTTTCATCTTTAAGCTGATTTTATGAATAAACTAAAATACAATCCCACTAAGCATTTGACATTAGAACTTAACACTCTGATTAGCCATTTAGGTCAAATTACACAGGCAGCAGTCAGGCTTTAGTCAGGGAAAAAGCCAACCACCTACATTCTACAACAGTCCTAAACTACATAAGCTCGCAAAAGTAATTAAAGACAGACGCAGACACAGACCTCTTGACAGAGAACATTAACAGAAACCCAGGCAAGATGAGGGATGTAACAGAATCTCTCAAGATGGAGCTGCCTGGCCGATCCATAGTTTTGGGAATCGTTAGCCTGACATAAAACATTTCAAGGTACGTTAACCAAATCTTCAAACCTCTACTACCCACAATTCCGAGGTACATCAAAGAAACAACCTTTTTCTAAAATATTTTTGAAAGATATCGATAGATTACCAAACAGTTCGCACAGTTTTGTATGACATGCCTGTGCTTTAACAGTCTACACAAGGATTGAATTCTAGCCTGCAAGAATTTTTTAAGCGTCAGAGACTTTAGAGAAAATTCCTCACAAGATATCTCCAAAATTATACAATTCATACTCACAGACAACAATTTCCAGTTTAACGGTCAGCATTTTCTTCAAGCCAGAAGCGCAGCGATGGGAAAGAAAATGGCTTCCAGCTATTTATGGATGCTTTGAAACGAGAGATGTTTAGTGACCACATAGTAGACCTACATTACCAGAGATGCATAGATAATATCACGGGGAGATCAGTTTCCAAGATCTCAGTAATTTCTATCCCAACATCAATGGAATATTCCACCACTTCTATTCTGTTTCTCGATGTACTTGTATGTTTAAATAACAACCACACTTCCACTACACTATATACCAAACCCGGAAATGGTCATTGATACCTAAATTTCAATAGCTGTCACCCCACCAACCTAAACATAAAATCAATAATCTACAGCCAATATTTACGCATAAAACGTATCTGTTCACAAAATGGGAAATGCAAATATATATATATATATATATATATATATGAAAGCTATTTAGTTACAGTCTCAAAAGGAATTACCTACTTAAAACTATAAGAAAATTAATCACCAAGACTTCCAAACAAAATAGAAATACTCTTCTAACCTATAAAACAAAAATGAATAATTCCAGAATTCCCATGGTTTTCTTAATTTTAATTACAATATTCACAAGCTTTCCTATTCATCTTTGTCTATTTCCTTTCTGGATGTAATGGTAGGTCTAAACACCAACCACATCTCCACTACACTTTACACCAAACCTACAGATGGTCATTGCTATCTGAATTTCAATAGCTGTCACCCCACCAGCCTAAAAAAAAGATCAATTATCGATAGCCAATGACTACGCATAAAACGTATCTGTTCACAGATTAGGGATTATGAAATACATATATATATCCCACCCCCTGCGGCTGAGTAATAGACATTTAAAAAAAAAACCATCCGTCCTCTCTGTTGAATATAAAGCAAATGAATGACTGAATTGTAAGCATTGGTTTGAGATTGTTTTAATATACAGAAATGTATATATATCACATTCCCCTATACATATTGGCTTACGCCCATATCACATTAAAATACTGGTTCTCGTGCGATAAATGAAGTTAAGAAATGTCAACTCTGTTCAGTATATAGATGGGTGACTGCTTGGAAATTCTAGGATCTGAAAACTTAAATATACGGTTGGTGTAATAAACAACATGCACGAGTTGGAAATCGGAGAGAAAAGTTCTAATTCAGGTTGGGTTCGTTATTATTTGTTTCTGAAGACTCATAAACCTTTTCATGGTCATTACAAGTCAGACAACATTTTTCAGGTGGTAAGAGGTTTATGGAGATTATAATGATTTACGCCATGCTGATTAATTCATAACTGGGGTGGGGGAGAGGTGGATTCATAACTTTACCAAGGTTATTTGCGCGTCTGGCAATGTACAGGAACCCACTGGAATTAGAACTTTCTGATTTCGAATTCCGAACCGTTATCAATTGTAGCACGCGCACATCAACGATTACATCACCTGATATTCCCAAGGGTCACCCATCTAGGTACTGACAAGGCTCGATGTTGCTTAACGTCTATGATCGCACGAGAACCTGTATTTCAACGTGATTGTAACATTAGTGTTATACTAAAAGTAATATAATTCGGTAATGAGTGTGTCCATTATTTATCTTCTCTTAAGTAGGAGAAGATAGGATAAAAAAATTAGGGATTCATCGGAAATTAAATAGTATCGTTAGAAAATAGACAGAGGACAAAATGAGGACAATGCACATAAATCCAAAAGAGGGACGTTGCATAATTAACATTATTTGCTGTTTCACATGTAAAGTTGATACAATGTTAATAATTGCGATAATTTAATTTTTCTTAAGATAAACTCTTTTTGATAATTACAAGGACATGTTTTATTCTCACGTACAGAATACAAAACAGTATTTATAATAATAATAATAATAATAATGCCTTAATTAAATGCAAAAAAAATGTACTCACAAGTAGAGCTCACATATTACGAAGAGATTTATTTTATGTAAAATATCTGTGTTCATAGACTTATTTAGTTTACACAAATGATCAGTGAAAAATGTTATGAAGTCATTTTTGAACTTAGGTCTCTGGTTAAGAAGGAAATGTTTATACAACAGAAATTCAAAGAAAAGTAATAATAAATATCAGTCATTGTAGGTGCGCTTGGAATGCTAAAAAATGAACATAACACATTGATAAAAATCACAGAAAATCCTAGGTTAATAGAAATATAAAAAAAAATTCACGATTTGTACAGTTCACACACTAAGCTTCAAATCTTAATTGCTTGAAGGTGTTAATGTGCCTATGTTTTGTCTTGGAGAATTAATATAATTGATGGCAAATATCGCATTTAGTAGCATAGGTTTACTTGTTAAGTTTTAAACTTTTCTACAACTTTACAATACACACAGGCAGAACAATCAAAACTAATTGATCAGATATCGTGATCAAAAACTACAAAAACAGAATGCAATTTCTTACTGCTATTGTAGTTCTTTCAGAATTCAATGTATCTTTGAAAATCTTCAAAAACTATCAAAGTACAAGAATCTTAAAGTGGAAATCCCCAAAATGTGGCACATAAAGATATCAATAATTCCATTTGTAGTTGGAGCCCTCAGATTGATGGAAAATGTTCCGATAGACTCACTGAAGGGATTCCTGATAACCCATGCCTTAAAGAAATACAAAAAATTGTACTCACAAATAGAGCTCACATATTACGAAGAGATTTATTTTATGTAAAATATCTGTGTTCATCGGCTTATTTAGTTTACACAAATGATCAGTGAAAACTGTTATGAAGTCATTTTTTAACCTTAGATCTCTGGTTAGGACCCAGAAGGAAATGTTTATACAACAGAAATCCAAAGAAATGATAATAATAAATACCAGTCATAGTAGGTGCGCTTGGAATGATAAAAAAGAACCCAACACATTGATAAAAATCTGTAAATCCCAGCTTAATAGAAATATAAAAAAAAATATCATGATTTGTACAGTTCACACACTAAGAAGAACTTTGTCCATACAACGCTAGTAATTTTATGGGAGTTAGAAAAGCAAATCATGAAATTTAGTCATAACAGAACTCTACTACCTGCTTAGGTTTTCCCGCAGACTTGTTGGTCGTGTTACCATAGCAGAACTCGATATATAATAATAATAATAAAAATAATATTTTTTTTTTATCAATGGAAAGTGTCATGATGTCATTTCTAACCTAAGGTCCCGGAAAGAATTGCGTAAACGCCAGACATCAAAGAAAATGAAAATAATAATAATAATAATAATTATAATTATAATTATAATAATAATAATTATAATAATAATAAACGGTGTTCGATTTCCAAAAAGCAATTGTCGATGTATGAAATGAGAGAGGCGAAAAATGTTTGTTATATTCGCTGTATTAGAGGAGCGGCTTCTTGCAGACACCATAAAGTTGATTTAATGAACAGTAATCGTCAAACAAGAAAAGCGACGAGAATACAAAGCAAATGCACAAGAAGAAAAGAAGCATAAAAATGAAAACATAATCTGCGCGGCAAAAATACACATCAGAGTAAAAGACAACTATTTGCAAAAACACCAATTGTTCAAATGATATTTTATTTAATGTGGGCTGCTCCATTTGTATAAGAAATTAATTTTGTTTGTATTTCAAACTTCCAACTTTCCAAAGAATACCAGAATATAGACAAAGGAATTTTAACAACGAGAGACATCACATTCGTTCTTCAAAATGATTGTGATGGTCGAAAGTAAAATAATAACATAATATATACGTTGGACAGTTTTTTCAACAATTCCTGTCTGTTTCATTTTTTTTTATTATAATTTTCTAAATGTCGAATAAATTGTTGAATATTCTGCACGAAGTTAGGGATAAATTGTCTGAGGTTCGTATTAATTCTTTGGTTCAAGTGTTTTGGGGCATCTCAGACATTTTCAGGAACTGACGTCTATGTGGGTGTTAAATATTGACTTTAAACACATTGTTTTTTTGTTTAAATGCACTTTTCAGATTTGCGTGACAATCGACGCACTTTGTGACCAAGAGGTTTAAAGCACGTCAGATCGAATAGATCGAATAGAGATTCAAATGATTTCTTGAATATTTAGGCCGGTAGACCAAAATAAATTCATATATTATTTAATAAATAAACAAAGCATCTACTCAAATACGAGTATTCGCTACAAAGAAATTTAATGGGATAAAATATGTCGCATTAATAAATATAAAAAATCCATTTGTATATAAAAACGCGCAAGAAATAAATCCTATATTTAGACTACGTTACATTTGTCATTGGTATACATTTGTGTCTAGTTTGTCTTCAACATTTAACGTGTGTAGTAGTGATTTATCTGCGAAATGTTCCGTTTAACAATGGCAGGATATTCATATCGTCAGCAGACAGATATGATTATTACATACGGCCGCGCGAATGGTAATGGACGCGAGGCTGCACGGCTGTACCATATGGCGCTTCCAGATCGAAGGCAGCCGAGTTATCCAACCTTTGCTGCTATTTATCATCGCGTTACTGAGGTAGGATTCGTGGCACTACAAAATATGTTTCGAGGAAGACTGAAATCTGCTCGTACGACTGACCATAAAGAACACTTTGTACAGATTGTCGGAGATGATCATGTCAAGTAACACTAGCATGTTGTACATCTCATAGTACCGTATGGAGGGTAATTCAAGAGCAACTCCTGTATCCGTTTGCAACGTATTCAGGATTTTTAGCCATCTGAGAACTTTTACTGAGGGTTTATTGCACAAACTGTCGATCAGTTGTTTTTCTTGTCAGTCTTGTTTACAGATGAGGCAACTGTCTATATTTCTGAGATGAGGTATTATGTACACTATTTATATTATTCGGATTATTGTCCTCATCTTTGTCTCCTTATTTATTACAACGTTTCGGCCCTTCAGTGTCTGTCTATATTTCTGAGATGAGGTATTATATACACTATTTATATTATTCGGATTATTGTCATCATCTTTGTTGGCATATTTATCACAACGTTTCGGACCTTCAGTATCTGTCTATATTTCTGAGATGAGGTATTATATACACTATTTATATTATTCGGATTATTGTCATCATCTTTGTTGGCATATTTATCACAACGTTTCGGCCATTCAGTATCTGTCTATATTTCTGAGTTGAGGTATTATATACACTATTTATATTATTCGGATTATTGTCATCATCTTTGTTGGCATATTTATTACAACGTTTCGGCCCTTGAGTATCTGTCTATATTTCTGAGATGAGGTATTATGTACACTATTTACATTATTCGGAATATTTTCCTCGTCTTTGTTGCCATATTTATTACAACGTTTCGGCCTTTCAGTATCTGTCTATATTTCTGAGATGAGGTATTATGTATACTTTTTACATTTCTTTGGACTATTGTCCTCGTCTTTGTCGCATTATGTATTACAAAGTTTTCAGCCGTTGTACGCTTCCGTTCTTCAGGTGGTTGGAATGTCGAACTGAACAATCTACCCCAGTGAACGAAATAAAGGGTTCAGTTCGACATTCCAACCACCCGAAAAAGTCCGGAGTGTACAACGACCGAAACGTTGTAATAAATATGAGACAAAGATGAAGACAATAGCTTCGAATAATGTAAATAGTGTAGATGAAGCAACATTTGGAATAGATAGAATAACAAATTTATATAACCAACATTTATGAAAGAATGAAAATCCCCATGATAAAATCCAGGCTAGACCAGAATCAATTTACGATAAGTGTGTAGGATGGAATTGTAGGTGACTCTCTTGATGATCCATATTTTCTCCTAGCTTGTCTTACAGGAACTGTTTACGGGGATTTTATTTAGAACAAACTTTAAGACCTGCTAGAAGATGTATCCCTGCTAATACGAAGACATGTGATTCATGCATGATGGGGCTCCAGCACATTTTAGTCACATTGTTCGCGATTCACTGGATGAGACAAGTAGAGAAGGACAAGTTGCATGACCTGCACGTTTGTCTGACCTCAATCCTTTGAATTTTTTTTATCTGTAGTGCAACCTAAAACAATTGGTTTATGTCACAGACATTAATAATGCAGAGACGTTTCAAAAAGGTCTCATGGGGGCAGACGAAACCGTTCGACACCGTTTGGGAGTATTTGAAAGGGTCCGCCAGTCAATGATCCGACGGGTATGTGCGTGTATACAAGCAAGTGTAGGATATTTTGAACATTTGTTATGAGTTGCTGTGTTGAGGTACAACGATGGACTTTTGGAGATCCGTTTATACGTGCATTTTATATTGTTTTTGTGTGAGAAACCAGCCCCAGAGTTTGTAAAAGTATTTTTGAAACACCCTGTTTCTTTCTCTCTCTCACTATCTCTCTCTCTCTCTCTCCCTTTCTCTGTAAACACACACACACACACACACACATATATATATATATATATATATGTTTTACTACTCGTGTAGGACGAAAACACTTACTTCTTTTTGAATTTGTAGGTCTGATGAATTGGATCGTATTTACGATTCCAATGGAATAAATTAAGACCATGGAATATTA